TCTTTCCCTTCTCCTATTTATTTCAAGTTTTCAAATCCCCTACTCATAACTCCGGTTATCTGAAGAAGTGGGCTGTGTCCATGAAAGCTCATGATACCCATCTACATGTTTTGTTAGTCTACAAAGTGCTACCAGACCATTTGTTGGTTTTTTTTTTTTTAATAATGTTAGGATTGCTTGTTGAGTGCCATTTTGAGTGTAAACACTTATAGATTAATATTTTCTAGTAAACCTGCCGAGGAGCTTATGATGAACCAGGCTATTTCATGAAAGAATTCCTTAATTGCGGACGTCCTTTGCTCTTATTTCACAGGAGAAGCACTACCAAGTGGTTAAATCCTCTGAGGAGAGCATTTATTGGATAATTTCTCTATTTTGTCCTTAACAAATAGATGATTAAACACATTTTGTGTTGTCCCTATTTGTTTCATGCCCACGTGCCAAAAAAAGAGTATTTTACAAACTTTTTTCCTGTATTTTTTCAGGTGGATTAAATACTGAGAATAAAATAGTTATAAAAGCATTTGATTTCCTTGCTGTGGAGCTCTAAGAGGTTTTTTTTTTCAATCAAAAGAAATGAATAGCAAGAGCATTTTCAGCGTTAGTATACCTCGCAGTGCCAAATGAGACCCTTAATGTGGTCTGCATAGCAGCTTTGATATGGGAGCTAACTGCTTTTGAGTCACATTAGGTACATAAACCTGCTTCTTAGTTTTGAGCTGCACATAAAGATACTAACAATGCATAATGGGATTCCATGCCGTTTGATTCCTGTAGTTGAGGCATATGTTCTGTGCACTCAAAAGAACAATGTAGCAAGGTAATGCCATCCCTTTGGGGGGCAGAGTTAAGATGTGTGAAGCAGCTTTTTAACAGTATTTTCTGGTTTCTGTGAATTCTTGTAAGGACTTTTCTACACAGAAAAATATCTAGAATAGGTTAAGTTCAACTATGCAAAAGCAGTTATAGTGTAGAGTAAGCTTGTCCATATTGGGAGTAGGGTTGCCAGATGGTTTCTGAAAAAATACCTGAACCAAAAAAAAAAAGGACCCTGAGAGTTGCTAAGCCAAAAAAAACCCCACACAATCCCTTTAAGAAACGCTTTGCTTTTGAGGCTTTTTGGTCCTAACAGGCTGCCGGTGGCCACCTTGCCATCTTGCCTCCCTGCGCCGGGCCAGGCAGCTCCCCTGCGGAACCTGGTATTTTCCCAGGATTTTCGCCTGCTGGCCGGGAAAAAAATCAGAAAATACTGGGCATTTTAGGTATCCGGTATTTTCTGATTTTTTTTTTTTTTTTACTGGACAGGAGGCAAAAATACCGGATTGTCCGGTTCAGTACTAAATACCTGGCAACCCTAGTTGGGGGCAAGTGTAGAATAGCTTTTCTACTTTAAATTCACACGTTGGTTAATTTTGCAATAGTGCCCATGTATAGACAATCCTTAATGATCACATTCCTTTGAGGATATGGGCAGCAGTTTTAACAGCTTTTTTTAGGGAATATTGAGCATGTGAAAAGGGGTGCATTTAAGGATATTTGTATGTTATCCAAGACAGAAAGATGCTGAGGGATTTTTGTATGCAAAAATTGTATTTTAGCAGTACTCTCTAACTTTTGTGACTTTCCTAATAAGAGAAATGTTGGCTCATCTAAATTAGCCTTTGATCAGTGTCCTGGAAGACTGGGTTTTGGCAGTACATTTTCTAGTTTTTTGTCTACTTCAGTGACTTGAGTGCTGGGTTTTCCCTTCTCTTTAGATGATTCCATAGCCCTGTAGATCTTAGGCCATTTCTATATTACAGAATTAAATCAACCAACTTAGGTTGATATATAGCCATCACAGTAATTACTGTAGTTTTTCATGTCCATGCTACCCTCCTTCTGTTGGTGATGGGTGTCCTCACCTAGAGGGGTTTCACTACCTTAAATGGGGCAGTGTGGGGGGCTGTTAGCCCTGCCACAGGGCTCACCACTGCCGGCCTTCCCCATCTCTGCAGGGCTCACCACAGCAACTCCCCGCCCATACCCTGCCTCAGCAGGACTCTCTACTGCAGCCACCCACCACAGTCCGTCACTGAGGGACTGTCCCTGTGTTGATCTAATTCTCTAGTGTAGATCAGGCATTGTTGTTAAGCTTTTCCTGCCTTTAGCTTAAATTGGCTATGTATGCTTCTAGAGTGTGGTCATGTGTTCAGATCTTTGGATTGGGGCTTCTTAGAAATTGTCATAAGATTCCCTCTGTGCTGTCTCTCTCCTGCCTTCCCTTCACATGCCTGTGGGATGTTTCTCCTTCCCTCCTCCCCCTACCACAATCATCCTTTAGGCATGTTCCACAGCTTTAGCTTTTTTGTCTTTCCTCAGAGTCTGTTTCATTTGCCCTTAATCATTTTGGTTGCAGTCACTTACAAACCAAACCAAACCAAAGCACCAATGAATTATCTAAAACCACATTTAAAGCATTCATATGTTGTTTGCTTCAGGTTTATATAACAACACTCAGCACTTATAGTCTCTCCTGGGAAGGTTGCATACTGAAATATTTGCCTTTTTGCATTTGGCTATATTGTGCAATTCAGTTGTCAGGTCTTGCACTGTGCTTCTCCAGTGCTAGCAGGAACAAAAGGTGGAACAGTCACAGCTGCTCTTTTTTTTTAAACAAAGAGCAGGCCCTAGGCCTTGATCTTTCACTTATTTCTGGTTGCTTGCCAGGAAGGGCTACAGTAGGCTTTTCTTCATGTTCAACAGACTTGATGGGTTTTTTTCCTCAAAGCCTGCTGACTCCCCACTTATAGAAATAAGTGGGTCTGCTTTAAATGTAGGATGCAAATATTGTGTCCTGTCCAAGGACAAAACTGCCTCTGGGAAATCACCATCAAGCATGCATAGTCTACGGAGAGTGTGTTGGTGCACCTCTGGTATCTATAGTGTAGAAACTCATTATAGCAATGGGAAGGGTTTTTCTGTCATTGTTGTCAGCCCACCTCCCTAAGAGGTGGGAGCTACATCAAAGGGGAACTCTCCCCTCAACTTAGTGTTGTTTACACTGAGGATTAGGTTGACTTAACTGCATAGCTGGGGGGATGGATTTTTCACACCCATGAGCTACATAGCTGTGTTGACCCTAACTCTCTTAAGGACCATTCCACCAGCCAGAGTGACTAGGGTTGATCGCTTCTTACCTGTCATTGTAGAATTCAGTTCTTAGTTGTGGCTGTCTGCAAATCCACAAATCTCTGGGGGAGGGAAAGGGCTCCCATGGGTGACACCAAGGTCAACTGGAGAATGCTCTACCTCATTGAGTGCTTTTCTTCCATTGTTCTCTCCTTTCTAAGGAAAATGCAAAAAACGTGGAGATGGCTTGAAATTGGAGAACGACCCTCAAGAGGTGAGCCACATTTGAGATGCAAATATGTCTCCTTGTTGTTCTTGTTAAGTGATTGCATGTTGTCAGCTGCCAGTCTCTTGTGTAAAAGTTCTGATGTAGTTCGCGCTCATGTCTGCATTCAGAGTGATCGAGCAGATGCATCTGCTACAATATGCTCCTAGATTGAGGTGCTAGGCTTCCCCAGCATTTTTTTTCTTCCACTTCATTGCAGTGAGAATGATCCACTGTAGCAATCCTGGCATAGTTTCTACCCTCCCTTTTGGAGTGAAATTCCTCCACTGTTCACTGTGCAGCATTGTAGCTGTTGAGTTATGGTGACAAAAAGGATGTAGAACTAGAATAGGGAGACCGAGAGGTTCCTTTCCATGATCTAAGGCAGATCACTTAATGTGATACCTTAGCTGGTCATCTTTTCAGTGGGGATAATGATCACTCATCTTTTTTAAAGCATTTTGAATCCTCAGGTGAAAAGGGGAGAACTATTGCCAAATATTACAATGGGAGCAAACTGTAGGGAGCCTGTGCCCTCTTGACAGCAGCATTGCTGTTGTGCACAAGATGTATGCTGTACACGCAAAGTTTTTGCTGTAGAACAAAGATAGAACATGTAATGCCTTCCTCCCAAGACTGCATTTTGACCTCAGATGCACCTACAAATCATCTTTCATAAAAATCCTGTTGTGTTCCTCTTTCAGGGAAGGATGGTTTGAAGTCTCTGTTCACTTACTCCCTTGAAGTCCTTTGTTCCTCTTGGTCATGTGATGTGCCCTGCAGTATCCATCTTTATTCTCTGAAACCATTCTATTGAAATTAGTGAGCCAGTGTGGTTGGTGTACAGAGTGGATTAATTCTTTCCCAGTCTAGTGACTTCCCTGCTTGCATATAAGTAGAGAGACACCCTCTGATTCAGGTGCTTTCCCCATGAAATGCCCAGTGATAAGTTCTAAGCTCGTTTTCCCAGTGTGAAGTTATGTATGAAAGTAAATCATACAGCTGCTGAGCTATTAGAGTGGAGGGTAATTTCACATTAAAATGTAGCATGCTACGGGTATGATATTGTAATGGGACTCTGCAAATTCACAGTTAAGACTGGGGCCCTCCGCAAATACTGAATTTGGCAGTCTAATGTAGTAAAATGCAGTACAGTATTGATTTTTTTATCAATAGTACTGCTAGACAATGCTGGTATCACTATAGAGGGGAGGGAGATGCAGCAGAAGACACTCCCTTATTATCAGCAGTGTACAACACAGCAAACATTTTGATTTGGAAAGGAAGAAAGAAAGGGAGTTGCTTTTCTAAAAGTATGTTTTGCCTGTTGTATCCTGTAGTTGTCTATGGATTCTGCTGGTTAGGAGGGGATCTGAACTGATGGGCTGGAGAGAAGAATGAGATTGCAAGTGCTAAAATCCTCTTGCTTTCTCTAATCAAATACTTGGCTTTTCACAGAACGCTGGCAGCTTTCAGCTCTTGTTTCCTCAGGCAGTATACACAGTGAACTATTTGAGAAGCCTTCTTCAAGTGATGTAAAATCTAGTGTTGCTCCTTTTTGTTGAAATGCTCCCCTTGGAAACTTGTGACTTTTCATTATTCTGATTGTTTCTCTTACAAGTCTGAAGCTGTAACAGCTGAAGTATTTACAGTTTGTGTGCCCTTCTGTTCCCAGGCAGAGTCAGAGATGGCTCTGGATGCGGAGTTTCTTGATGTGTACAAAAACTGCAATGGAGTAGTGATGATATTCGACATCACCAAGCAGTGGTAAGAGAGGAGCAGTGACACATGCAGCTTGAGTCTTGCTTATTTAATCAAAACAAATGATCTTTGAAATCACAGGATCTATACACATACCAGTCTTGAGAGCTTTATTATATTTATTATATTATAATTTTGCTTTATTTTCTGGCCTGTTTTTCATCTGTTCCCCTGTTTAAACCAATTTAGATCTGTTCTCAAGAAGCTGTCTCCCTACATGTCCACTGACCTGTAATGCCCACTATGCAGCAGCCTAAAGAAAATATCTTTTGCACAGGTTACTTATCCAGCACTGGAGGGTGCTCAGCACCTTCAAAGTTAGATGGCAAAGTTCCTGCTCCAAAGAGCTTCCATTCTTAAGTGTAGGCATGATATCTAATGGGAGCGGTGAAAACCAAACGTGGGGAACAGGGAAGAGAGCTTGAGGGAATAGGGAGATATGGGTTTCTAAGTGCTCCAGCAGAATTTGTTGGGCTATTTTTATCCCTCTGCTAACAGAAAGGAAACATGGGAGCAGGGAAGGAAAGGTGAAAGTGAGGAGTGCAGGGATGGCAGGAACCGGGAAAAGGAAAACAGTAATCCTAGTGTGTCAGGGACCCTGAGTGGCCCAAACTACTACCACTGGTGCCTTCAGCTTCTAAGGAACAACTGCTGTCATTTGGCTGACAAGGTGCCATGAATTACATTTATGAGCTGTAATTCATGAAGCTGTAGTTCTCCCAAGAGGAGAGGGAGGTACTCATTGCTGGAACTCTCTTTGAGCCTCACTTCCAGATGCAGTCGTGTGCTGTTTAATTTAATTAAAGCTCTTGGCAGACTCCTACACCCCAGCACATCAGAATAAGTGGACAGGCACTAAAGCTGTATTCTCATCAGTATAATAGATCAGCCTGTCTAGACACTGGGATATAGATCATGCAACTTTAGCCATTCTCTATCAGTACAGCATGTTCTGGCTTGTATACCTGCAAAGCAGGGAAACATCAACACAGTGTCCTTAATAGGACAAGACAAGGAGGGCCCTCAGCTAAAATGATATGCCTGAAGTGGATCAAAGAAAATATTTCTATATGTAGCATAGGGATGTAAGTGACTAATGGACTGTCCGATAAGCAAAAGCTTATCGACTAGTCACTTCTTCCCTTGCTGCCTCTATTACAAAGAGGCAGTAAGGGGGGGAAGAGGAGAGGATGCAGGAGGGGGCCAGCTTAAAAGCCGGTTCCCCCCAGTTCCATCTCCGTGGGGAGGGGCACGGGCACAGCAGCAGCCAACTTTGAAATGTACAACAGTCCCCGCTGGAGCTTGTGTACATTTCAAAGTTGGAATACTACGTGGAGCCCAAGGCCAGCGTGGAGTCCCCTGCTGACCCCAAGCTCCACGCGGACGCTTCCACTTTGAAGTGCACAAGTGCCCCTGCAGGGACTATTTGATAGTTAATTAATCGAAATTTAACATCCCTAATATAGCATGTAACCTGTAGAGCTCACTAGTACAGAGAATTGTCAAGACAAATAGCTTAACTAACTCGGTGATTCTGTGTATAAGATTGCACTTATTTCTGTACCACAAATATTAAAAATTCTGAGTAAAATATTTTAAAACTCTGCATATTTTATTTGTCAGTAAATAAATGTGGACTCTCCCAGTAGGGAGCACAGAGAGCTGCTTGCAGTGAGGTGGGAAGATTAGCCTGAAGCCCCCCACCTGACAGGCATTCTACAGTGAGGCTGCATCCCACCATAAGACACCGGGCCTGTCCCTCTGAATCAGGTGCTCCAAGAGTTGGTGGGAAGGCAGGCTCAGCCCAGCACATTACAAGGTTCCATTTGTTTATTGGGTAGCCAACTAGTCACTTACCTCCCTATTGGGGAGCTCATCAGAGTGGTCCAGGTGCAGGGGATGTGGGGATATATCAGGTGAGGGTTTGATGGGTCTGCTTGAATGTGACAGCCCCAATTGCAGCTTCTGCCGAGGGGATGCTGCATGCTGTACTCCTGCTCTCCACCCCCCCCCCATTTTCCTATTCCCTTCTCCCCCCATTCTCCTATTCCCTTCTCTTCCCTATCCCTTCTCCATCTCCCCAACTTACCCCCTTCTTTTCCAACTACCTTTCCTCCACTCAGCCCTCTTGTTCTGCCCTACGGTGGGTACTCACTGCTGTACAGGAAACAGAGTGGCTCCCAGCACACAGAAAGGAAACACAGCTGGGACTAGGACTCAAAGAGGCCACATCCAGCTGCAAAGTCAGCACAGCTGAATGATACATTTTTTTTTGTTCAGCCAGGCAGCTCTGCGCTTGTTGAAATGTGGGTGGGAGGAGCCTGTAGCACACGATTCTGTGTGCCCTCCCCCTCCCCATGCCTTGCCTCTGTTTTGGAGGCAGTATCCTCCAAACTATGCCAATGAGCATTCCTAGCCTGCCCCCACCCCATTCTGATGCAGTTTTCCTTAGCTTTCTGACACTTTCTGCAGGGAAGCAAAGAAATTTGAGTGAGGCAGGACATGTTTCCTTCTTGCATGCAGTGATGCAGAATTCCCTCGGGAGTAACTTTTAGCCCTTGTTTTCATCAAAGCTCATACAAGGGCGTAATCCCAGTCTCCACCTGGGGTGAAGAGAATATTCCCTTTTCCTATCCTCACCCAACAGTGCAGTGTGTTACCTTGTCCTAGACTATTTTATATGGATCCCAGCTCCAGGTACAGAACTGAGGTACTTGGACTGTTTGCTTCTGAATGACAGTCTCTGTGAAAGAACAGTTTTACCTCAGACTATGTCTCAGCCTTGTCTGTAGGTGGGCCTCAGAGGGAGCCCACTTGTGAGATTCATATTTTAGATGTTTCTGTTTGCTTTGCATTTTTTGTGACTATGTATGTTAGTTTGTATTGTGTCAATGGAAGCTGTAAATGTAGTGATGTTGCTTAGAATACAGCTAACCCATCAAGTGTGCTCACACTGTAATTACTTGTTTTCCCTCTTATTTGGTAAAGGACATTTAACTACATATTGAGGGAGCTTCCTAAAGTGCCCACCCATGTTCCAGTGTGTGTGCTTGGGAATTACCGCGATATGGGAGAGCACCGGGTCATCCTGCCAGATGATGTGAGGGAATTCATTGATAATCTGAACAGGTAAACAGTGCTGATGCCACACTGGCTTTCTGAGCAAGCAGTACTCCTCCCCTTCTCTTGCATGCAATCTAGCCCCAGTTAACAGCATGTGTGCGCCATTGAATTGTTCCCTTCCCTGATCATCTAACCCCCTTCTCATTCTGTTGGATGCGGTATGCCTGTGTATTGTCACTTTGTATTGGGCTTACTGCTCATGCAGTGGTTTTCCTACTGAACCTACAGGCATCCTCTGAGCGGGCAGAGGGCAGGGCGGGGCAGGGGAAGAAAACTCAGTTCCCAGAACCAGTGAATAGCACTAAGTCCCCATAGAAGTGATATTAAATAGCAATTAATTTGCTAGTCGAGTAGTTGATGGAATTTCCACCGACTACTTGATTAGTCGATAAATACTTCCTCATTCCACCTTTGAAATGCACAAGAGCCCCAGTGGGGGCTCTTGTGCATTTCAAAGGTGGAACACCACGTGAAACCCAGGGCCAGCAGGAAGTCCTGCTGACCCTGGGCTCCATGAGGGCGCTTCTGCTTTGAAATGCACAAGAGCTCCCGCTGGGTGGTATTGTACATTTCAAAGCTGGCACACTGCATGGAACTCAGGGTCAATCCCCAGCTGATCCTGGGCTCCAAGCAGCGCTGCAGCTTTGAAATGCCATGAGGAGCCTGACGCCAGGCTCCCTGCAGCATTCAAAGAAACAGCACCACACAGAGCAGCTGACCCCGGGCTCCCTGTCACTTTTAAGTACCCTCCTAGAGACAGCAAGGGGTGGGAGGAGTGACTAGTCGGCTATCCTGTTGACTAGTCCTTTACATCCCTAACCCATGGTGCAGGCCTTTCAGAACTGCTCTATCCAGATGGAAGAAAATAAGGGGTTTTTTCTGGCTGAAAGATTTGGGTGTTACTTCCCTCAACACTGTTGTTCCACAAGTGCCGGTGCACCAAGTAACCAGCAGCTTTTTCTAGCTAGCTTTTTCTCCCTTTCCCATACCCTAGAGATTGAGTATCCCCACTGCAACTCTTTCAAGCTGTGTCCTCCAGGCTGCCTGCTAATTCTCTACACTGGCATTTCTTTGAACCTGGCCATGAGGTATGCTCTCTTTAATCACGGAATCATAGAACACTAGAACTGAAAGAGACCTCTAGAGGTCATGAAGTCCAGTCTTGTGCCCTCATGGAAGCCACCATCTAAATCATCCCTGATAGATGTCTGTTCCACCCACTCTTAAATATCTCCAGTGATGGAGATTCCACAACCTCCTTAGGCAATTTATTCCAGCGTTTAACTACCCTGACAGTTAGGAAGGTTTTCCTACTGTCCAACCTAAACTTCCATTGCTGCAGTTTAAGCCCATTGCTTCTTGTCCTATGTTAAGAGGCCAAGGAAAACAATTTTTCTCCCTCTTCCTTGTAACATCCTTTTAAATACTTGAAAACTGCTATCGTGTCCTCCCTCAGTTGTCTCTTTTCTAAACTAAACAAGCCCCATTCTTTGAGTCTTCTCTCATAGATGATGGTTTCTAGATCTTTAATAATTTTTATTGCTCTTCTCTGGACCTTCTCCAATTTCTCCACATCTTTTCTGATATGTGGTGCCCAGAACTGGACACAATACTCCAACTGAAATCTAATCAGTGCAGAGTAGAGCAGAAGAATGACTTATGTTTTGCTCACAACACTCCTGTTAATGCATCGCAGAATCATGTTTGCTTTTTTTGCAACAGTGTCACGCTGTTGACTCATATTTAGCTTGTGGTCCACTATGAGCCCTAAATCCCCTTCAGCAGTACTGCTTCCCATTATGTATGTGTGAAACTGATTGTTCCTTTCTAAGTGGAGCACTTTGCATTTGTCCTTATTGAACTCGATCCTCTTTACCTCAGCCCATCTCTCCAGTTTTTTCACATTACTTTGAATTATGACCCTATCCTCCAAAGCACTTGCAACCTCTCCCAGCTTCATATCATCTGCAAACTTAACATATTACCTTCTATGCCAATATCTAAATTGTTAATGAAGACATTGAACAGAGCTGGTCCCAAAACAGACCCTTGTAGATCCCCACTTCTTGTTCACTGCCAGCATGACTGAAACATTAATAACTACTTTCTGAGAATGGTTATCCAGCCAGTTATGCACACACCTTATAGTAACCCCATCTAGGTTGCATTTCACTAGTTTATTGATAAGGTCAAGTAAATCAGTATCATGCTTTACTAAAGTCTAGGCATATCATGTCTACCTGTTCTCCCTTATCCACAAGACTTTTTATCCTATCAAAGAAAGCTATCAGATAGGATTAACATGATTTGTTCTTTGCAAATCCATGCTCGCTGTTACCTATCACCTTATCTTCCAGCTGTTTGCAGATGAATTCCTTAATTACTTACTCTATTATCTTCCCTGGCACAGAAGTTAAACTGACTGGTCTGTAGTTTCCTGGGTTGTTCTTATTTCCCTTTTTTTAGACGAGTACTATATTTGCTCTTTGTCAGTCTTTTGGAATCTCTCCCGACTTCCATGACTTTTCAAAGATAGTTGCTAAATGCTCAGGTACCAAATCTATCAGCCTCTTGAGTATTTTAGGATGCGTTTCATCAGGCTCTGGTGATTTGATGATATCTATCTTTTCTAAGTAATTTTTATCTTGTTCTTTTTTTATTTTAACTTCTAAACCTACCCCATTTCCACTAGCATTCACTATGTTAGGCATCCCGTCACCATCAATCTTCTTGGTGAAAATTGAAACAAAGAAGTCATTAAGCACCTCTGCCATTTCCAAGTTTCCTATTGTTTCTCCTTCACTGAGCAGTGTGCCTGCCCCGTCCTTGGTCTTCCTCTTGCTTCTAATATATTTATAGAATGTTTTCTTGTTGCTCTTTATTTCTCAAGGTAGATTGAGCTCGTTGTTTGTCTTTTTCTTTCTAATCTTGCCCCTGCATATGTGCGTTATTTGCTTACATTCATCCTTTGTAATTTGACCTAGTTTCCACTTTTAATGTGACTCCTTTTTTGATTTTTATATAATGTAAGATCTCCTGGTTAAGCCAAGGTGGTCTCTTGGCATACTTTCCATCTTTCCTATGCAGTGGAATAGTTTGCTTTTGGGCCCTTAATAATGTCCCTTTGAAAAACTGCCAACTGTCTTCAGTTGTTTTCCTCTTAGTCCTGCTTCCTATGGGACCTTACCTACCAGCTCTCTGAGGGTATGTCTACACAGCAAAGTTATTTTGAAATAACAGTGATTATTTCGAAATAACTTTCCTAGCATCTACACAAGCCAACCGCTATTTTGAAATTAATATGAAATAGCGGTGGGCTTATTTTGAAATTGGTAAACACCATTCCACGAGGATCGTGCCAATTTCAAATTTGCTATTTCGAAATAAGCGCTGTGGCCACAAGGTAACTTCTGACCTGATGACCTGCCGGAACCAGTTCCGGCTGGCCTTAAATGCGATTCAGCATCCAATCAGTGTGGATGCACTATTTTGAAATAGCAAAAAACTATTTCGAAATGCATTTTGTGTGTAGACGCGTTATTTTGAGATAAGATATTTTGACATAACTATTTTGAAATTAGATATTTCAAAATAACTCTGTAGTGTAGACATACCCTGAGTTTACTAAAAATCTGCCTTCCTGAAAGCCATTGTCTTTGTTTTGCTGTTCTCTCTTCTACCATTCCTTACAACCATGAACTCTATAATTTCATGGTCACTTTCATCCAAGCTGCCTTTCACTTTCAAATTTTCAACCAGTTTCTCCCTATTTGTTAATATCAAGTTAGAGATACTGTCCTCATTGGGCAGGGAACAATTGATCCACCTCATACTGCCTTTCTCCTTCTGAGAGTGATTTTACAAGAACTTTTTTGTGTAACAGGTTTTCTTTTAAAGCCTGTCAGTCACTCATGGCTTCCTCAGATGTTTAGAAATGTAATCCATCACAATAAATGGCTTTGTACCAGTTCTTTTTTTACAGCCTTGTTTATTCATGTTATACACACCATTATCCAAGGTGAACTATTGTAACTTTAATTCCCAGTGCTGAGGTTTTAATAGCTTAATTTAGGTCTGTTTATGGAATTAAAAATAAAAATGTTCCAAAAGAAATGCTTTGAAATACTTGGTTTGGTAAAGTGTTGGCACAGTGTCCCAGCAGAGCAGGTCAGACTGTTGCATGACACAGCAGCAAAACAACTGCACTCTAGTCTTTCTCCACCAGTCTGCTAGCAGGATGAGCTGCCAGCGTGTCTTGAGGTTGAAGGATTTGCCTGGGAGTTGAGAGTTGCTCATGGGATAGAACATGCCTCTGCTGTCTGTGTAGTTAGTCGGTCTTTTGTAATTCTCTTCTCATTTGGAACAGGCCTCCGGGCTCATCTTATTTTCGCTATGCTGAATCTTCCATGAAGAACAGTTTTGGCCTCAAGTATCTACACAAATTCTTCAACATCCCATTCTTGCAACTACAGGTAAGAATCAGGGATTTACTTAGTGCAAAGTGGGTGGAGAGAACTATTCTTTCCACAGGAACTTGTGGGCATGCTTTTCCTGTAATGTTCCGCTTTTCAGTTGTTAAAGGAGCCTATATGGATTGTTGTTTTCATGAGAGTGTTGTTAACAAAAGTCACCAGGCATTTTGCTGGCAAAGTGGGTGCTTTTCCTTATCTAGCTAGGCATACCCTTATCAAAGTGTAAAGGTTCCAAGGGTCGGTATTGTGCAATACCAAGGGTCTGTTTTGGGACCCGTACTGTTCAATATCTTCATCAATGATGTAGATATTGGGATAGAGAGTATGCTTATTAAGTTTGCAGATGATACCAAACTGGGTGGGGTTGCAACTTCTTTGGAGGATAGGGACATAATTCAAAATGACCTTAGCAAGTTAGAGAAATGGTCAGAGATAAACAGGATGAGGTTTAATAAAGAGAAATGCAAAGTGCTCCACTTAGGAAGGAACAATCAGTTCCATACATACAAGATGGGAAGCGACTGTCTAGGAAGGAGCATGGCGGAAAGGGATCTAGGGGTCATTGTGGACCACAAGTTGAATATGAGTCAACAGTGTGATGCTGTTGCAAAAAAAGCAAATATGATTCTAGGTTGTATCAACAGGTGTGTTGTAAGCAAAACTCGTGAAGTCATTCTGCCGCTCTACTCTGCACTAGTTAGGCCTGAGCTGGAGTACTGTGTCCAGTTCTGGGCGCCACATTTCAAGAAAGATGTGGAGAAATTGGAAAGGGTACAGAGAAGAGCGACAAGAATGATTAAAGGTCTAGAGACCATGACCTATGAAGCCAGGATTCATGAACTGGGCTTGTTTAGTTTGGAAAAAAGAAGATTAAGGGGGGACATGATAGCAGTTTTCAAATATCTAAGAGGGTGTCACAAGGAGGAAGGAGAAAATTTGTTCCTCTTGGTTTCTGAGGACAGGACAAGGAGGAATGGGCTTAAAGTGCAGCAGGGGAGGTTTAGACTGGACATTAGGAAAAAATTCCTAACTGTCAGGGTGGTCAAATATTGGAATAAATTGCCAAGGGAGTTGGTGGAATCTCCCTCTCTGGAGATATTTAAGAACAGGTTAGATAGACATCTGTCAGGGATGGGGTAGACGGAGCTTGGTCCTGCCTTGAGGGCGGGGGGCTGGACTCGATGACCTCTTGAGGTCCCTTCCAGTCCTATGATTCTATGATAAACAGGGAGTTTGGAACAAACAGGGGAAGAGCAGAAACAGGGAATTTCCTTATCAGTTCTCAAAACAAACTGTTCCTCATCACAGCAGGTACAAGAATGCAGCTTCTTACTTATCTGACTTTTGCAACTTAAACAAGCGTGTAGGGTGCGCCCCTGCTTGATCCTATCTCCAGTTCTGCCCAGGGACTACCCAGAAACCTTTGTTACGTCTGCTTTAGCATAATTGCACTAGGCCTAATTTTCTAGGGCACAACACCCCTCTTTTTGATCCAGCCCAACTGGAGCATAGCGAAGCCTCAGGGGGCTGAATGTCGTGGCCAGCTGACTGGGCAGCTGCACTTGTTTGCTCCAGCTCAGGTGGCCCCAGCATTCAGCTCGCTGAGGCTGCACTAGGCTCCCGCTGGGCTGGATCAGAGAAGAGCAGCCGTTGGGCCAGCTGACCGTGGCGATCGACTCTTAAGGGCACAGCAATGAACAGGTTTGTGATCACTGATCTAGAACTCAGTTAACTCAATTTTACTGAGTAATTTAATGTTAAAATAAGTGTGGGGTTTAGACTGAAAAATTCTACGATGGGCTAGTTGCTTGGCTTGTTCTGTAGAACATTGAGTTTGATTTTTACAGACTGTTAGCTCCAAAATGCCAACAACATGATTTAATATGTGTGTCTGTGGCATGCTTACTGGCTGACCAGATTTCACTTTGTTCGCAAAATGTTTGCCTTGTCACTAGCCTTTTGGGCTGTCAACTACAGTTTAGTTTCTCACATGCATTTTACACTATTGGAAATTGTCTAGCACTTAACGATGTAACATTTTCTGCCCCGTTCTGATACATGAAATTAAAATAGCCCATGGATTATTGAATATAAATGTCAAGTTCATTCTTATAGCAGATAACTTTGAAGGAATATTGAGGGGTAGAGAATTTATAAAAAAACTAGACTGCAGAGCTAAGAAACCCCGGGGTTAAGGGGGGCTCTTCATATCTCCGAGAGCTGCAATGTGGAGCCATGGCTGGCAGGCAGCCTGCCTGAGCATCCCACTGAATCCTCCTTGCCAGAGGATATTGTGAAGACTAAGACTTAACAGGATCCAAAAAAGTGCTTGGTAGATTCATGGGGGTTAGGTCCATCAGTGACTATTAGCTAGGATAGGTAAGAATTAGGGATGTAAACGACTAGTCAACTATTTGATAAGGAAAAGCTTATGGATGACAGGGGAGGGATCACATGATGGTTACCTGTTGTGTTTCCTACCTCTGGGGCATCTGGTATTGGCTACTGTTGGCACACAGGATACTAGGCTAGATGGATCTTTGGTCAGACCCATTATGGTCATTCTTATGCTCATCACAGGCAGGACAGAAATGGGCTGCATCCAGCCTGCAGGCCATATTTTGCTCAACCTTGTTTTGTAAACTTAATAGGAGCATCGTTCTTTTATATTCACCCAGCTAGATGCTTGACTTAAATGCCATTAGAAAGCAAACGTGTGTCCCCCTTGCTGCACCAGCTGAATACTACCTCATAATAATGAAGAGTTCTTTTATCCAGAGAATCTACAGTGTTGTGAAAAGTAATGAGGTCACTGTCCATAATTTTGTATACTCTTCTCTCAAAGGGACTTATAAGCAATTCTTACATGATTTGAAATGTTTACATGATTGTGCTGTAGCCTATTTCAGTGCTCCGTTGTGAGTATCAAAAGTGACACTTTTTGTGACACACATATTCTTGTGAAAGAGGATGCTGACTTTCATAATGAACACTTTGTGTCTGCCCCTATTCTTCTCTTGTATTCCTTTATTTAACTTGAACACCTTGCTGGGGGCATGTAGCTGCTGATCAATTCATTAAAATGGGTAAAACAGCGCATTAATGTTAATGCAAGGTCTTGCTGTACCTGCAAGCTCTCAGATACCTGGTACAGTGAGTTTTCCTGCTCACCCTGTTTTATTTTCCTTTCTTCAGAGGGAGACATTGCTACGGCAGCTGGAGACAAATCAGCTTGATATTGATGCAACGTTGGAAGAGCTCTCAGTGCAGCAAGAGACAGAGGATCAGAACTACGAAATGTAGGTCCTTGAGCCTTCCTTTCTAACCCTTTTGCTGGAGTCTGTGTAGCTCTTGTCTGTTCGGCAGCACAACACTTTACATGACTCGGAGACAGCCCAATTTAGTATTTGTTTGGATATTTCATTAGAGTCTTGTGTAAAATAGGAGATCCTCGAATACAAGCTTGTTCTCTGAATTCCAGCTCTGACTCTTTGCCTTCAGACATGCCTTTGCCTTCTCCCATGCCTTTAGGAGAGGAAAGAAATTGACATGGAACTGAATAAAATGAAATGGTAGAGTTCTAATGATTCACATGCAATAAGGATTATAGAGTAGTATGTCACTGCCTCTAACGATGTCGGAGATACTCACAGTGCACTCGAGGGCTTCAAGAGAGAAATGGGGTTACATGGTTTAGTCTGTAGTCATTTTCTGTGTATCTTCTGGTTAGTTCTTTTGAGAAGTGTCCGTATGGGTACTCTACTGTAGGTGTATATGCTCCCCTGCGCCTCTAATCTGTGACTTTTGCTAGCAGTATCCATTGGTCCCACCATGTGCTCTCCCTCCCTCATGATCTGCCTGGAGTCTATCTAGCACTGTACAAGGGAAAACCCTTCATTTCCTTCTCAACCACCTTTGGCCTCACAATAGAGGACCATTACATTCCACATTCTGATGACACAAAAAACCAAACAATGGATACTTAATAACAATTTGCACCTTCTCTGTCAGCTTAATGTAGCATGGACACTAATTGACTATTTCTCCCCCCCCTTTTTTTCTTTTTCCTTCTCTGTCCCCCCTCCCCCCAGTCTCTTAGGGTATGTCTACACTACAGCACTAATTCGATCTAACTTAATTCGAATTAGTTAATTCGAACTAAGCTAATTTGAATTAGTGCATCTAGACCTAATAACTAATTCGAATTAGCTTTTTGCTAATTCAAACTAGCAAGTCTACATTGAGTGGACCATGAACCAAAGTTAAGGCTGGCCGGAACCAGTGCTGGCAGGGCATCAGGTTAGGACTTAGAGTATGGAGCTGCTTCCTCAGGCTAGCTGAGGGCTGTGCTTAAAGGGACCCGACCCCCACCCCGGACAGACAATTCTCAGGGTTCCCTGCTTGCTTGTCTACCTCGATGAGGGACAGCAAAGCAGTCCTGTCTTGAAGTGCCCTGAGTGCCCGCACTCGGCACATCACAACACTCAGCCATCAGCCCGGCTGCACTTGCCACAGACTGCAATTCAGGGGGTCAATCGGGGGGCTGTCAGGATCCAGGAGGCCCTGCAGGAGAGCTTCCACCCTGAGGAGCCCACAGAGCCATCCCAGTGCTCCCCATTGGGGGCTTGTGCCCCATTCCTCCCTCACCTCCTTCCACTTACCCTTCCCTAGCTCTCCTGCCTGATGTAAAAAATAAAGGACACGTGTGTTCAAAAATAGAAACTCTCTTTATTTATCAAAACTGGGCGGGGGAGGATTAACCTCTGGGCAGACTGGGAAAAGGAGGTGGGAGAGGGGAAGAGAGAGGGTAGGAGAGGGGAGGGGGAAACCTGGGAGGAGGGAGCTGGAAGGGGGAAGCCAGGGGAAGAAGGAGGAGGGGAAGTATAAAACTATGATACGCCATATCTTCAGTACAGTGTACAGACGTGGTCTCATCACCTCAAAAAAGATGTTTTGGCCTTGGAAAGGGTTTAGAAAACGGTAACTAAAATGATTAGGGGTTTGGAACAGGTCCCATATGAAGAGAGGCTAAAGAGACTGGGATTTTTCAATTAGAAAAGAGGAGATTAAGGGGGGATATGATAGAGGTATATAAAATCATGAGTGGTGTGGAGAGGGTGCATAAAGAAAAGTTCTTCATTAGTTCCCACAATATAAGGACTAGAGGACACCAAATGAAATGAATGGGTAGCAGGCTTCAAACTAATAAAAGAAAGTTCTTCTTCACAAAGCAAATAGTCAACCTGTGGAACTCCTTTCCACAGGAGGCTGTGAAGGCTAGAACTATAACAGAGTTTAAAGAGAAGTTAGATAAAGTCATGGAGGTTGGCTGTGGAACTCCTTGCTGCAGGAGGCTGTGAAGGCTAGACCTATAACAGAGTTTAAAGAGAAGTTAGATAAATTCATGGAGGTTGGGTCCCTGTAGTGCTATTAGCCCGGGGGTAGAAATGGTGTCCTTGGCCTCTGTTTGTGGAAGGCTGGAGATGGATGGCACGAGACAAATGGCTTGGTCATTGTCTTCGGTCCATCCCCTCTGGGGTAGCTGGTGCTGGCCGCTGTCGGCAGACAGGCTACTGGGCTAGATGGACCTTTGGTCTGACCCAGTACGGCCATTCTTATGTTCTTATGTTCTAAGCTCAGGGCTCAGGGTCGTTAGGAAAGTTAGATGTCAGCAAGTCACCAGGTCCTGATGAAATGCATCCCAGGATACTCAAGGAGCTGATAGAGGAGGTATCTGAGCCTTTAGCTATGATCTTTGAAAAATCATGGCAGACAGGGGAGATTCCAGAAGACTGGAAAAGGGCAAATATTGTGCCCATCTATAAAAAGGGGAATAAGAACAACCCAGGAAACTATAGACCGGTCAGTTTAACGTCTGTCCCAGGGAAGATAATGGAGCAGGTAATTAAGGAAATCATATGCAAACACTTGGAAGGTAATAAAGTGATAGGGAATAGCCAGCATGGGTTTGTGAAGAACAAGTCATGCCAAACTAATCTGATAGCTTTCTTTGATAGGATAACGAGCCTTGTGGATAAGGGAGAAGCGGTGGATGTCATATACCTAGACTTTAGTAAGGCATTTGATACGGTCTCGCATGATATTCTTATTGATAAACTAGGCAAATATAACTTAGATAGGGCCACGATAAGGTGGGTGCATAATTGGCTGGATAACCGTAGTCAGAGAGTTGTTGTTAACGGTTCTAAATCCTGCTGGAAAGGGATAACAAGTGGAGTTCCTCAAGGGTCTGTTTTGGGACCCGTACTGTTCAATATCTTCATCAATGATGTAGATATTGGGATAGAGAGTACGCTTATTAAGTTTGCAGATGATACCAAACTGGGTGGGGATGCTACTTCTTTGGAGGATAGGGACATAATTCAAAATGACCTTAGCAAGTTAGAGAAATGGTCAGAGGTAAACAGGATGAGGTTTAATAAAGAGAAATGCAAAGTGCTCCACTTAGGAAGGAACAATCAGTTCCATACATACAAGATGGGAAGCGACTGTCTAGGAAGGAGCATGGCGGAAAGGGATCTAGGGGTCATAGTGGACCACAAGTTGAATATGAGTCAACAGTGTGATGCTGTTGCAAAAAAAGCAAATATGATTCTAGGTTGTATCAACAGGTGTGTTGTAAGCAAAACTCGTGAAGTCATTCTGCCGCTCTACTCTGTACTAGTTAGGCCTCAGCTGGAGTACTGTGTCCAGTTCTGGGCGCCACATTTCAAGCAAGATGTGGAGACATTGGAAAGGGTACAGAGAAGAGCGACAAGAATGATTAAAGGTTTAGAGAACATGACCTATGAAGCCAGGCTTCATGAACTGGGCTTGTTTAGTTTGGAAAAAAGAAGATTAAGGGGGGACATGATAGCGGTTTTCAAATATCTAAAAGGGTGTCACAAGGAGGAAGGAGAAAATTTGTTCCTCTTGGTTTCTGAGGACAGGACAAGGAGTAATGGGCTTAAAGTGCAGCAAGGGAAGTTTAGATTGGACATTAGGAAAAAATTCCTAACTGTCAGGGTGGTCAAATATTGGAATAAATTGCCAAGGGAGTTGGTGGAATCTCCCTCTCTGGAGATATTTAAGAACAGGTTAGATAGGCATCTGTCAGGGATGGTGTAGACGGAGCTTGGTCCTGCCTTGAGGGCGGGGGGCTGGACTCGATGACCTCTCGAGGTCCCTTCCTGTCCCATGATTCTATGATTAGTCCTCGTAGAATGAGGTTTACCTAGTTTGAATTAAGAGCTCCGCTAGTTCGAATTAAGTTCCAACTAGCGGTTTGTATGTGTAGCGCCTATGAAAGTTAATTCGAACTAATGGCTGTTAGTTCGAATTAACTTTGTAGTGTAGACATACCCTTATTTATTTAGAAACTGGACCTTTTAATGACTCCATTCATCTGAAGAAGTGGGTTGTGCCCACAAAAGCTCATGATACCATCTACACGTTTTGTTAGTCTTTAAGGTGCTGCAAGACTATTAGTTAAGTTTTTCGGGTTACAGACTAACTTGGCTGCCCCTCTGAAACAGAGAGAGTAGTTGACCTTTCCTTATCTGTGTTATTAGCATAATTAATAGCTAATTTTGGTTTTTTTGTTCTCCCTAATAGTGTTTCCTCTCTCTTGTTCTTCCTTGGAATTAAAAAATCCCCCATAACTTTGTTTCTTCTCTGGGGGCATCACCCCTCCCTCCCCCGAGTTTAGAAAACTGTTGTTTTTCTCTCTCTCTGGTAAAAGAAACACAAAGAGGGAGGAGCAAAGACTACTTTGCTTCTACATTCCTCATTACTAGAGAGTGATCTGCCCCAAACCGCCACCCAGGGGTATTCTTGGCTCTTTCAACTCTTGAGTGGTGCCTCACCTCTCAACTCATTTCAATCTACGGACCACCAGGTCAATCAAAACATTTTCGTGGACCACCTCCTTTTTGAGACATCATAAAAAAAAGAGCAGACAACGAATATTTTGGTTTTAAATTTATTTCTTACTAACAGATTTTTGGATTCTCTTCTCACTGACAAGCTTTTCAATGTTTGCAGTGGTATCTGATAATGCATAACGATTATCACTTTCCACTGCCAGCCGATTCCTGCAACAAACATGAAAATCCAGTCTCACACATATAAGTTGATGCAAATGGCAAAAGAAATCTGACTGCTTGTGCTGATTTGGGTAACTCCTGGTCACCCTGGTCCAAAATTTCTCTATGGTAGACTGCTGGTACACGTCTTGAGCCGCAAAATCATTTTTCAGATCCAAGAATTCCTCCTGCAGATCCTCTGTTGTAAATGGATTCCTGATTGTGACAGCACGTTGGGGTTTTCCCGTCTCCTGCACCCCCATAATGGCACGAACAGACTCCACTAGCCAGTAGAATAGAGGTGTTTATTGCTTCTCCAGGATACAGCACAGCGCAGATGTAATCTGGTTACAGGGCAGGCCTAGGATGCCTCAGCCCCCCTTGAGATGGGGGAGACTGGCCCCTAAATTCCAGCCCCTTTCCCTAGGCTGTCTCCTCCATGCTCCCAGACAGAAACTAACTCACCCACTTCCAGCCCTGCCCCCCGCCAGGGCTCCACTCCTCTTCCTCCCATTGTTCCGCTCCCTCAGAGTTAACTCGTCAGACAGGTTTGAAGCCCCCTTGCATAATGACTCATCCCCTGCCCTGCTGGGCCATGCTGTAGACAGCAGCCAGTGGAGGTCACTCACAACCCAAGCCTAGCAACCAGCAATGTACCCACACTTCGTCACAGTGATGAAAGATAATCCATTCCTTCTCCTTTCCACCTCCAGAAAGTATCATTGGAATTCGTCTCATAGCTTCCGTAAATGATCGAGAATTTGCGTCCGAATGGCTTCCTTTCCCCGAGCATGGCATCCACATATGGCAATTGAACTTGATTATTGCCTTCGACTCTTACGATTCAGAGTTCCAGAGAGAACAGATCTGCACCTTTCGCTTGCAGCTGAAGATTCAGTTTGTTCAAGATTCCAAAAATATCGACAAGATACGCAAGTTCTAAATTT